TCCTGCACTGTTGTTCTATGAAATAGTAATGATCCACCCATGCTGAGTACCATACTCTTGTAATCTTTTCCCCAGAATCAAGGAGCCACATTCTATGTGTTCATGGGCACGTCGTGCAAAATGGGCGAAGCTAAGAAAATAGGTGACCAGTGAAGGAGGGGCGAATTTTTCATGGCCATTCCCTAACATGATCCACAATGCTGGAGGCATGCCTTGATTGCCTTCCACAAGACCTCACTAGCTTGCAGGGAAGGGAGTGATCTGAATTTCCTAGCCAACAGCCTCAAACGACGAGAAAAAGGATCTCCAGAAAGGATGAGCAAGACCTTCCGGTTGGTAAATCCTTGTCAAAGGATGAATTTTTAGTCAGAAACCTCTAGCTACACAGTGGGTAGTCAAGCGGCCTAGAGAGCAGCATAAGCTTCAAGTCTTCCCAGAGTAGACAGCCTCTTTCTGGTTGCCTCATCCACTGGCACTTACAGTCTCACTCCGAGGCAAAGGTAAGAGAAGGAATAAAGTCCCATCTACTCACAGTTCTGAAGAGATTTTAAAAAGCAGCATATGGTAGAAAAATGACACCTGGTTACACAAACGTACCTTAACTGATTCATAGCTACATGACCAACAGTGGACTAAATACTGACTACTAACTACATAGCTAACTGAATACGGATTGAGAGAAAGAGTGAGAAAAGGACTCTTAAGGAGAGAGGCGTGACTCTCTTCCTAATCTGAGGTGGAAAGAGAACAATTGGCTACTGCTGGATGGATCGACACCCCTTCCAGTCCGGAAAGGTCCCACCTAGACACAACCTCTTAAAAGCATCATACGAAGGTTGCTCAAATTCCCAACAGGTATGAGCTCTTTGAAAGACTCCCTCCGAAGTGAGCGGACCACCACGGTTAATAGTTCTAACGAGAAGCTAGATGACTTACTTACTATTGGGGATAGGACAGCAGTGGGTTTTCTGCAGCAGCCAAAAGTTGACAGCCTTTCTGGTTTCCAACCTTATCAATACAAGCCTTTGCCTTAAGGAGGGTGCGATCTAAGTTGTGACTGAAAAGGAGGGGGGGGGCAACAAATGAGAAAAGGAAGAACAAACGAGAGGAGAAACGGAGGAGAAACAGCACCGAGAAAAGGAAGAACAAACGAGAGGAGAAATGGAGGAGAAACACCATCGTGACAACTTAGTATTGTTGAGCTACCCTTTTATTATACGTTAAGAGGGTGAAGTCTAGGGCAAGCCATCAAAAGGAGGTTGAAAGAGGACAGAGATGGGCAGACGAGAGCATCTGTTAATTTATAGGTACAGATCTAAAATTAGAACTCTTTGCACTAATTAGAACAGCCCTGCAATTCACCTCGACCAACCCTCTGACCAAATTTAATGAACACATATCCTCAGATTGCCGTGCTAAGGCTACGCCCACGGAAAGCAGGAGAATTAGCACCTCGGCGCCGTGTTTCGTCCCACGGATTTCAGTGGGTCTGCTCTAAGCACAATGGATGTGGTCTCCACCCTGTGGCCTCATAAAATACTTCTAAGTTTTGCTTCCTAACCTTTTCGTATACCGGCGCGATCAGTCCTTTTCTGACATCATGCTGCCGTGGCATGCTTTACTAAATTCTTCATCCCAAATCTGTTTTCCTTCCTGAGTTTCCGGAGATCCTCACAGAAGGAACTACATCAACAACTGTTTCTCTCGGATGCAACTTTTCAGGTTGCTACTGTTTGCAAACCTGGTTAAGGTTTTAATGGAATTATATGAGGCAATATCCTATTCATTAGCTTTGAAACATTGTCCAGTGCTTCCTGGCCCAGAGATAAACATGAATAAATGTCCCAGGCTGCCACAGTGACTGGTTATTAGTCTCTCTCTCTCTCTCTCTTTTTTTTGTTTTTAACCTTATGCCATTTGACTGAATGAACTGGGCATGTTTAGCCTTGAGAAATGAAGACTGAGGGCAGATAGGAGAGCACTTTTGAAATACTTGAAAGGTAGGAGTATAAATGAGGGGCAGGATCTGTTCTTGAACCTCTCAGAGTGTAGGACATGTAATCATGGGCTCAAGCTACAGGAAGCCAGATTTAGGCTGAAGATCAGGAAAAACTTCTTAACTGTTAGAGCAGTACGACAACGGAACCCATCACCTTGGGAAGAGATAGGGAGCCTTCCAACGCTGGAGGCCTTCAAGAGAAAATTGGACCGCCCCCTGTCAGATCTGCTTTGATCTGGATTCCTGCTTTGAGCAAGGGGTTGGACTCGATGGCCTTAAGAGGCCCCCTCCAGGTCCATCATTCTAGTCTTCTATAAAATAGGTTCCCCCCCCCCAAAAAAAACATATGTTCGAGGTCAAGTGGACCTAGTTTTGAGTTAGTATCAACCATATTTGTTTTTTAAAAAATTTGTTGCTTGAACATTAGATACATCCTGGCCGTTTTAAACATCATATATAATGCCTATTCTTTTATTCAATTGTCCCAAGGTTCCACCAACTTAAATTTGTGTTCGGCCCCCTTTCCTTTCTCTCCCTCTCAGGGTGTGGCTACACTGCTAAAATGAATCAGGAACTGGATCGAGGTTTTGAAATCGATTTAAAGTCACATGTTTTTTGCGTCCGCACACACATCCTCTTGGACCACTTTTAGTCCAGTTGTAAACAGTGTGGTATATCGGTCCAGTGGACTAAACGGACTTTAAATTTGTTGCATTTTTAAGTGAGCAAACCCCTTAACACGTCAACCTCCAATTTTTCCAGGTCCCTCGTCATGCCCAAAAGTCATGTTCTTCTGCTGTGTTGTATTTTTTTCCCTTGTGTTGAGAATTGTTTGTCACTGGTCTAAATCCTCTTTTAATTATTTTTAAGATCTACTTTAATATTTATCAAGTATTTCAAAGTGGCCTAACGCTGCACAGGAAAGGAAACGTAATACTTGTTATCCTAGCATCCCATATTTAACAAACAGAAACAATGTCCTCGAACACAAGGAAGCACACCTGCCAAAACAAAACGCAACTGGAATCAATTCAAAATAAACAACATCCTCCAGGTTTTTTTTAAAATTAAAAAGCAATTTCTGCCCCCCCCCCAAAAAAATGCATACTTAGCCGTACATCACGTAGGTGGATATTTTAACAATCGATTCCCAGTTTGGTATATCTGATGCAAAAATGGAGGTATGACAACATGTAGCCAAGTCCTCAGCACTTCTGCATTGTATTTCCACTTAAGGTACATGAGTACGGGTCTTGTTTTCATGCTGGCTCACTGAAACACCCATGGGTGCTTATGTGCGACAAGTCCCAATCGTGAAAGAAGCATTTCCATCTCAACCCGAAATGCCTCTTCTCAGGTGACTCCACCCGCAATACGGAGATGCGTCATTTGCCCAGCAAATCAGCATCTCCTCCAACGAATTGTTTCTGTTTAATGTTCTACAGAGAAACAGATACAGATTTCATGCACATCTGATAAAATCTTTTCTACAGACTTGGGACCGTCTTTTGTGCAGCTGTTATTTAGTTTCCTGGAGACCAAAATTCACGGATGGCTCAGTCAACGTTCATAGGGTTACAAGCTTCATCATGTTCTTCTTTGAATAAGGCCAATCCCCCAAGATGAAGCTGAGCATCCTGTGTTTAAAGCACTGCATGAAAGCGTGAAGATAAAAGCTGTATCAAAGGGATGCAGAGATTTTCTACAGTTAGCAAATGCACTGCAAACTGAGGGGGTGCAGAGGTGGCCTGCTTCATATCTTCCTTACTACACGGAAACAGATCTTTCGATTTATACAATAGTAATTTCTCCCCTAAAGAGGCATCTACAGACATACAGTACATTCATAGGCACACTTTCCATGCAGGCCTGTGTCCTCATTTTTAGGCAATGCATTCCTCTTACGAGGACTTGTCTGAGATCTTTACAAGAAGGTCAAAAACCAGTATAACTTCTTAGGGGATGTTCATGTAAAATGTGGCAAAATCTTAGGGCAACTAATCTGAACTCTAAAAGGGATTGAGATGAAGAAAAACAGAGGGCAGGTGCTCGAAATGTGCCTAAACCTTTGCCTGCAAAACGTCTCTGCATCTCTTCTAGCGCCAGTCAAGTCCATCCATGCACAAGGATGACTTTGAGAGACAGAAAAACAGGTAGCCTGCTCTTTTGGTGGATGCTCTCAGCGACCAGTGGGACCCATGAAGGGTCCTCCTGGCTCCATACCACTCCATGGCTTCTCATTTCAGAAGTTAAGCAGGGTCAGACCGGGTTAAGACTTGGATGGGTGACCATCAGGGATCTGCGGGTAAGGCTCGGATAGAATCCTGCTTGAAGAGCCCAAGAGCTGTTACTAATATTAGACTGGGCTGGATGGACTTCTATGGTCTGACTCAAGATAAGATAGCTTCCTAGATCAGGAAAGACTGAAACTAGGCATGTTTAGCCTCGAGAAAAGAAGACTGAGGAGAAACAGGGGATCACAAATCCTTGAAAGGCTGTCCTCCAGAGGAGGGACAGGATCTGTTCTCCATCATCCCAGAGGGCAGGACACGTCATCTTGGGCTCAAGCGACAGGAAACCAGATTAAGGCTGAATATCAGGAAAAACTTCCTAACTGTTAGAGCAGTGCGACAACGGAGTGACCTCATGGGGAGGCTGTGGGTGCTCCAACGCTGAAGGAGAAAATTGGACCGCCATCTGTCAGATCTGCTTTGACTTGGGTTCCTGCCTTGAGCAGGGCAGGTTTCGACCCGATGGCCTTATAGGTCCTTCCAACTCCATTATTCTAGGATTCTACGATTCCAGCATCCTCTAATCTTCAAGGTCATGTGAAGGAGTACTTCGTTCCGATGCTCTACTTTTCCAGGTCCGTCTGAAGAACCCACCCATCTCTTGCAAACTCACCTTATACGCACAGTCCAAGGATGTCCTCCCCCCCCAACCCAGCTTCACCTTGGCCAACCCAACCCTCTACCGGAAAGGATCCCTCAAAGACACTTACTTTGATATTAGCTGGGTTGAAGGCTACTTCTTTCCGGGGTTCTGCCTCGGTCGAAGGAGCAGGCTTGGGCGTGGCCTTTGGCTCTTCTTTCTTGGGTTCGGCTTTCTTAGGCTCGGGCTTCTTGGGCGCCATGGCGCTGAGGTGAGGGTGAAGCCGGCGGCTGGCTAAGGGAGGCAGAGCAGAGCGCGGGACGGTCTCCTGGCCGAGGTCTTTATCCACCTCTCCGTCCTCGAATGTCACACATTGTGGCACTTGGCCTCCGCCCCCCCCCCAACAGGCTCATCCACCACCACCCTCCCCTGGGCAGGCATGCCAGACCTCGCACAATAGGACCGTTGCTATAAAAGGAGAAGACATTTGGGCCTTCTATTTTGGAGTGGTCGCTGAGGACATTGTTCTGAATTAGTGCTGAAATAGAAAGAAGGCTGGGGGGTGGGGGTATCAGGTACAGATCCTAGACGGGGGGGGCAAATTTGTCTCTGTCTTTGGAGAGGTCGGTGGGGGGGGGATGAACACAAGCCAGCTGTATGCTGCCCTATATCAATTTCAGCCCTGGAGCCACCAGATTCTTTGATAATGCTCTAGGATGAACTTTCAGGTCCAAGAGAAAAGAACATAAGGAGGAATTTGGGCCATTGCAGTTCCATTTAAAGCCCTTCTTTCATGGAAAGCCTGGAAAACGGCTGGATGGCTCAGTGGTTGAGTTTTTTGGCTGCAAAGCCAGAGGTTGGGAGTTTGATTCCCCGCTGGGCCTCGTTGACAGGGGCTGCATTTGATGAGCCAAAGGGTCCTTTCCAGCCCATAAATTCTAAGAGTATTATTGAGTCAGTGTAGGAACTGCTGGATAGCTCAGTGGTTTAGGCTTCTGGGTGTAAAGCCAGTGGTTCGGAGTTCGATTCCTCCACTGGTCTTCTTGATAGTGGCTGGATTCAATGAGCCAAAGGGTCCCCTTCCAGCTCTGCCATTCTTTCTAAGACGATGATGATTTTGAGGCATGCTCAGAGGAAGAGCCGGTGTGGTGGGCTGGACCACATTTGGGATTAAAGTGAGGAAACCTGTTTTCTAATCTTTCGGATGTATGGTGTGCATTTACACCACCACTCAAAAGGGAGAGCAGTAAAGCACACCGCTCTGCATAAAACAGCATGCACTAATTCATGGGTACAGATGTGACATTTGAGATCATCTTTGTAATTTAAAGAGAACTGCAGTGCCTGTCAGTCAGGCGGGGAAAACAGAGACCAGGGGACTCGTCCGTCTGCTATCCTGCTATTGCTTCCTTGAACGTCCAAGCCCTTGGACTGCACAGAAGTCTGCTCACAACCTGACTTCGATTCCCACAGGTTGAGGTCGCCGGCTCACGTTTGACTCAGCTATCCATCCTCCCAAGGTTGGTAAAATGTCTCTCCAGCTCGCTAGAGGACAAGGCGTTCATTGCATAATTAAGTTGTAAACCCCCCCCCCCAAGAGTGATCTGGCACGATGAAAGGTTGGTAAAATGTCTCTCCAGCTCGCTTCATTCTCCAGCTACATTCATTGCATAATTAAGTTGTAACCCCCTCCCCCCAAGAGTGATCTGGCACGATGGGGTGGCATATAAGTCAAAGCAATAATAATAACTCTCCGGCACAGAATTATAAGCATCTCAGCATGCTGCAGATCTCGGACTCCCAATACACAGCTTTATACACAGCAATGTACAGAGATAAGTGTTCTGAAACCTGAGCGGTGTCAAAGGGGGGGGGGGGAGGCCAGACCTTCATCAGATATCTTAAGCTAAATGTCTGAGTTTCCCATCATGTCTCACCAGAATCCCGGGCTTTTCTCCTGCTCCATTCCTGCCAGGAGATAAGCTGAGCTGTAGCAGAGATGGGCTGAGGCCTTCCAAGGGATGCTCAGATGACCCTCTGCCGAAGGGGCATCCAGCCAAGCGTGGCCCAGCCAAGCGTGATCTCGTTTCCACCATGAGGGACAGACGGCATGAAGTCAAGAAGCCACCAGGCCATCTACGGATGCTTCGGAGCGGGAGGCTAGACAAGAGTATGGCTTGAGGAAAAGGCTCCTGGTCCGTCCCAAGGATGACAGCGGTCCAGTTTAAAACTGGAATGCTTCGGACAGCTGTTGTGGGCCAGCACAAAGAACATAGCGGTCTAAAGCAACGACTCGAGCATGCTGGCTCAGGAATTCGGAGAGCTACAGCCCAGGGAATCACCTTTCTAAGGCTTGCAAGGACTTCAGGATGATGCCCTGCATCTGTTTGAAGACCCCTGCGAATGAAAGGCCACCTCATTCTAGCCCGAGGCTGGAATACCTCCAAGAGAGAGCCACCCCAAGCCTGACTTGGAGACCTCTGGGTGACCAACAGAGTCCCCGGCGCTGCTTTCAAACCACTTGTCCCGTATAAGCAAGTTTCTCCTGATGTTCCGCTGAAATCTGCCCTCCTATCGGTAAGCCACCTTGGGTCCCCTACCTGGAGAGAGGCAGCAGATAAATAATTTAAACGAATAAAATAAATACAGTAGGATGCGCTTATCCACTGGATCAGTATCCACGGTTTCACTTATCTTGGTGTTGAAGAATACATAGCCTGGTCTCTGGCTCACTCTAGTGGTCAATTCTAGTAGTACATGATGAAAATATGTACCATATTTTTCCGTGTATAAGACTATACTTTTGTCTAAAGTCTTCAGACTAAAAATTGAGGGTTGTCTTATACACAGAAATAAGCTGAGGAGAGAACAAACACAAGTGGAGGGGAAAGCAGGGATCAAAGTGATCCTGCAGTGCTTTGATCCCTTCCCCACTACACTTGCTAAGCCCCACTTAGATTTCTTAATTTGGGGTTAGAAAAGTGGGGGGGCGTCTTATTCATGGGCGTGTCTTATACACGGAAAAATACAGTATTTCTGGATTTATTTTTTTCCCCTTCTACTAGGCTATGTAGGGTTTGCTATTATTCACAGTTTTCAGCATCCATGGGGGGTTTGGAACCCATCACCCAGATACAGGGGTCCTACTGTAAATAAAATTGATCAAGTCTGTTAGATCTAATTCCTGAACTGTAGGGCTCTGTTCATGTGGCAGCCCTCCCTGTCAACTCTAGAGTAGGTTCCAGATCCTTTACCCAGATGACATTCCATCAAGCGAAACTTGGAATACATCGATGTGAAAGCCACTGCAGGAAATATTTTCTACACCCTGCTTGACACAGTCCATGGAGATATATGTTTGAGATACAAGGGGATGATTTAAAAAAAACACCCCTGCGGTTTTGATGGAAAATGAGTCCTACTTGATTCACCCAGTAATGAAGTTGGATGGGAACTTTAGAGTTTTGTACTTCATCCACTAACTTTCATATTTAGGAAATACAGAAGCCACACTTGTTTTACACAGTTATTCTGTTATTCTTTTTTTAAAAAAAAGTTGAAACAACCCTCCTGAGAGCTTGAAGTTAAGACCTTTCAGCTAAAATATTTGGGTGTTTTGATCATTTGGTTTTGTCTGTCACTGCCTCGGGCTGAATAAGGTGCTCCATACCTGATCTGGTAAACCCAGTGATTTGTGCCCAGGTGAATAAGGTGCTCCATACCTGATCTGGTATCCACTGGATTTCAAAGTAAACCCAGTGATTTGTGCCCAGAAAAGCATGGCAGGATTCACAGAATCATAGGATAAGGGAGTGGGAAGGGGCCTCTAAGGCCATCCAGCCCAACCCCCTGGAATCCATATCAAAGCCAGTCTGACAGAGGGTGGTCCCATTTTTCTCTTGAAGGCTTCTAGCATTGGGAGCGCTCACCACCTCCTCGCGAGGTGACTGGTGCCGTACTGCTCTAACATTTAGGAACTTTTTCCCGATATTCAGTCGAAATCTGGCTTCCTGTAACTTGAGCCCACGGTTGCGTGTCTTGCACTCTCGAATGATGGAGAACAGATCCCACCCTTCCTCTGTAGGACTCCCTTTCAAGTCTTCAAAAAGTGCTCCCCTCTGTCTTCTTTTCTCCAGGCTAAACATGCCCAGTTCTTTCAGCCTTTCCTCCTAGGGGGGAGAGTTTCCAGTCCCCTGATCATCCTTGTTGCTTCTTGACTGTTCAGAAGTAAGTTATGAGGGAACCCCTCACCACTTCCTCTACATCCCTAGCACCTGTTATTTAAAGATACGCTGCCACTGAACATGGAGGTTTTGTTCTCATGGCCAACATCGGGCGAACATTGTTGCTTAGCGTGTATCATAGACGGACGACTGAATTGTTAGGCTGGTGGTCTGGACATTCCTTCTGCCTTTATAAAAGAAGCTGGAATTCCAGCCAGGCTTGGCACCTCAGGGCAGAATCTTATCCCATGATCTCATGCATGTACAGTAAAGCCCCTCCCAACAACCCAGATCTCTTTTCCTTTTACGTTCCATGGAGTTCCAGGAAATCCGATCTGGCTTTTGAGAGCTGTAATGCAATACCCTGGCTAGAGCCAAGAGAACAATACTGAACGAGGAGGTAAAGTCTGCCTGCGCACACAAACGCGGTCGCCTGCTCCGGCCATCGGCTCCGCAGAAGAACATGGATCCCAGCCAGATCCATCTAACTTTAGGGCACAGTGCAAACCCTTCCTAAGTCAGAGGATTCGGGTCTAACCAGGTCATTAACTACTGCCTTAAAAGCTAACCACGAACTAAAGATCTGGGCTCTGAAGCTTCCTCCATCCGATTTGCCCTGCGTAAAAAATCTGTAGGTATCCTTCAGTCTTGAGAAACTATGGTAATGTGCTCTGTATGGAGGTCTTGGAACAGGGTCTAGTGTGGCTGAGAAGGCCAATTCGAGAGGGACAATTTCTTCCACACTGAAGACAAATCCAATCTGTCCCCTGCCCAGCTCCCTGGTTTTGCTCATTTTATAACCGCCTCTTTGCCTCAGCCTGCTGGACAAGGGTCTCTTCAAATTGGGAGAGGCCATGATGCACCGCCTGCCTCCAGGCTAAATGCTCAGAGGTCAGGGTTTCCCATCTGTTGAGGTCCATTCCTAAGGCCTTCAGATCCTGCTTGCAAATCCCTTTGAATCATAGCTGTGGTCTCCCTCTGGGGCGATTTCCCTGCACTCATTCTCCATCCAGGAGATCTTTCGGAATCTGACCATCAGCCATTCGCACGACATGCCCGAGCCAACGTAAAAAATCTACAGTACCTGCATATAACCATTTTTCAATATATGGGTTTCTAGTTCCTTTGGTGACTTAGAAGTAGGCCCCTACTATGCAAGGTATTCC